ACCGATTATATTTATCGTGTTATTTCAAACAGAACTAAGGTGAGCCAGTTACCAATTATGTTTACCGTTATTATTTCAAACAGAACTAAGTGAGCTAGTTACCGATTATATTTATCGTGTTATTTCAAACAGAACTAAAGTGAGCCAGCTACTCATTATATTTACCGTGCTTATTTCAAACAAAACTAAGGTGAGCCAGTTACTGATTATATTTACTGTGCTTATTCCAAATAGAACTATGGTGAGCTAGTTACGATTATATTTTTCATGCTTATTTCAAACAGAATTAAGGTGAGCTAATTACCGATTATATTTACTGCGCTTATTCCAAACAGAACTAAGGTGAGCTAGTTACCGATTATATTTTTCATGCTTATTTCAAACAGTATTAAGGTGAGCTAATTACCGATTATATTTATCTTGCTTATTTCAAACAGAACTAAGGTGAGTTAATTACCGATTATATTTACCGTGCTTATTTCCAACCGAAATAAGATGAGCCAGTTATTGTTTATATATACTATGAACTGAAGCTTAGGTAATTATTATGTTTATGTTTGCTTATTCGCAAATAATAATATTTCTCAATCGTCACTTTTTGAGAATGTAACTCGTGCGTGGGAAACGTCATATATATATTGCTTTCTTTGTCTGTATTTTCTACTAAATGGCGCTTTACGATAGTACGAGATTGGAAAAAGAATATTTCAACCGACGTTTATTATTTTATTTTAGAGAATTATTACATTGGGTAAATACATAAACTAGTTCATTTAGATCAGGGTTACTCATTATTTTTTTTGAGTCAAGCCTCACCTTTTAAAAACAAACGTGTAATTGGGTGTCTTTCCCACCAAACACACAAACACAAATAACTTGTATGATGATGATTTTTTTCACGCACCACACACCCAATGTGTATAATATAGACCGCGAACAGTCACTGAAACCCAGTTAAGTTCAAAGTCCGCTCTTATTGTTGCTCTCTTGGTAAGCGCGGCTTTTTATATTTAAATAAGGAATGCTATAGAAATATATTTAAAACCATGGATTGTAACTCTACACCTTGGAGTTTGCACAATTTCCATTTAAACTTAAGAAAATAAATTCCGCTATATTACTGTGTTATCTGAACGCTGCGGTGGCTCCCCAAAAAAGTCTGAAATGTTTTATTCCCCCCTGCGGTAACTCCTCATAAAAAAAATAGCCGTAAATATTATATAAATAAGGTTATTTGTATAAATTTAAAGGTTAATCAATATTATCAGCGAATGAAAAATTACTAATAACAATTTCGATCTCATGAAATTCAGTCTTTTTTAATTAGATATCCGAAGAACGTTTTCTTATATACTCAGCTATTGTCTATAATTAAACATTTTCAGTTTTTATGACGATATCAATAACTAAGTTTTTTTACAGTGCTTTATTACTCTATTATTCAACACAACTTTTAATGTATACGAGCTTAAATTACCCACTATAATGTTTGTTTGTAATTAAGCACAAAGCT